GATGGAAATCTTCTATATAATTGTGGTGATGGTTACACCACAGTATAGCTGTCAAGAGGCATCAGATTTTGGATAAATTTATATGTAAATCAAACCTCAATAAAGCTGTTTTTTAAAAAGATTTATTTATTTATTTATTTATTTATTTATTTTTATTTTAGAGAGAGAGTGTGTATGCAAGCAGGGGCAGGGGAGGCAGTAGGGCAGGCAAAGGGAGAGGGAGAGAGGAACCAAAGCAGACTCCATGCTGAGCACAGAGCTCAATTCAGGGCTTGATCTCATGACCCTAAGATCATAACCTGAGCCAAAACCAAGAGCTGGATACTTAACTTACAGCATCACCCTGGCACCCCTAAAGCTGAGTTAAAAAGTAATGATACGACCCTATTCTTTCTCCAGTTCTAACAAAGACTCTATCTTCTGCCAGGTCAGTCTATTTTAGCACTTAGAGGTTTCTGTGTTTAATTAAATGCCAGAAATTTCAGTTATGAATGATCATTTAGCCCTTCAATTCACTTTTTTATAATCATGGGAGTTGAATAAATTTTTTCTAAAATAATTTGATAAAATATATAAGCCAATCCAACTTCCAGATGGGCTAAGTTCTCCTGGAAATGGCCCATACATTTCAGAGACATATAAAAACAAACATCTAAGTATGCACCAGATGTACATAGAGCAATGTGCATAGATCATAAAACACAGAGCTGTATTTAAAAAGAGAAGAAACAGAATAAAGTCTTATCACCATACCATTTATGTCAACTAACAATACATGCACTTTATGTTTATGCACATGTTTTACTGGGTCATACAAATAAAAAGCCATCAGCTATATTAGAACCCAGCAGGTAGGAATGTGACTAGGAAATGGGGATAAAAGGTAATTATTGAAAAAGTTAATTCAAATCAATCAAAAAGAGGTCTTACACAGATGGAAAAGAGCATGCTATGATTGAGGATTATGATTAACTAATTCCCCCTTTGCATAAAATGTCCAACTCAAACAGAAACTAAGATGTCCTTAAAACAAAATCTCAGAAAATATTTGACAAAGTCTTGGATAAATAATGGAATTATTTCATTTATCCAACCTACTAGTTGAAAATTTTATTGGGGAAACACTCATTGTTCTTACTTATAAAATAACACAAATACAAAATGCTTTCATATGGTAGGATTCTCAGTGATATTCACTCAATGCTCTCTCAAATGTTCAAAATGAAAATTGAAAAAATTAGGAAAAATTTAAAAAGCAAAGCAGAATTGCTTTTATCTTTTAAAAAGATTTATGCAGGAAGGAAATACAACTAACCTTAAAACCAGGGAAAGTATAACATTTCTCTCTTGAGGATCATGTGGGAGATTAGTATAGTATCTAATAGTATATGGCTATTATATATGAGCCACAGTACATGGCTCAGTATACACAATGGATAAATATGCATATCCATAGCATACTTGCTGAAATGAGGAATACATCCATATTAAAATCATTAATTTAAACAAGAGAAATATTGTCTTGTTTGTTAAGATGCCCAGGCTTCAAAGACAGAAATAACATTTTTGATAAAACACAGGAATATATAGAGTTTTCTATTTTAGCATTATCCTTCCTTTTCAAATAAATCTGGGAAATCAATCACTTCATTTAATGTTAGCATAAATAATTATGAATAGATACTTAATTTAAAAATCTGTATTGAATAAGGAGGAAAGAAAGGAGTGTAATAAATATTTGATAAACCGAACTGAAAAGAGAAGGGAAATGACAGGTCTTAACTCTAGAAGGACCTTAGAGATTAACTTGCCTGAACTTTCATTTTATGGAATATGGAATATGAAATAAAATGTCCAAGAAGAAGAAAAAAGAATGTGAACTTCTGCTCCCATGTAAATGGTTCAAAGTTAGGTTAATTACCAAGTAATGAGTCTCTGAGGTTTGCTACTATTGCAGAACTGAGCCTTCAGATGGCCCCATTCAGACACCCAGACAACCCACTCTTCATCTAGCACTTCATCAGTTATTTGTGAGCCAAAAGCCTAGCAATCCCAGACCCCTCCTCCTTTTTTCCAATATTCTTTTATAGAATAAAAGGAAGGCAGCCGAAGGCAGATATTAAGCATGTGAAGTTTAAATACTTCTAACAGAAACAATAGCCTATTGGCATCAGATTGATTCCCAGTTCCTAAGGATTCAAAGGCTCTTTGAACAGAGTTTAAGCTGGGGGTGTTATATGAAAGAACAAAATATCTGGAGCAATGTAAGTCTCAGATAACATTTAAGTCTAATGTGTATATTTTGAGACTATTTCAGTTTAGGATAGTTAGTTGAACAACTCTTTTCAACTCTTGTAAATGGCTATAGATGGGTCATTCCACCTTCCCTTCTTTGCAGAATGAGGACATATTATCCCATTTTACACTTATGTTGCTCAGTAGAAATGGTAGAAATTCATTACATAATTAAATAAAAGAAAAAAGATTACCTTTGATTTTACCACCTCCATCCCTGCATTGAATCATTCTGAGACCATAATTTATTCTGAGATAATGTGTTTATTTCACAAGTGTCTAAATCTGTGTGGCTTAGATCTCATCCATCATATTTCAGAAACAGAAAAATGCATAGGAGAGTCCAGAAAAACCAGTTAGAAAGTACTATTCGAGGTTCCCTCTACCCACCTGGCCAATAACAACATACATATATGCCACAAAACTTCTAAGGAAAAGTAGTCCTAAATACAAAGCAAATGTCAGTCATTTTCAAATGATCTACTTCTTTGTTCTTTATCAATTCTGTTTCTCTGCTCTTGCTTTTCTAGGAAAGGACATCACTTCCTAGTCTTAAATGGCTCCTGGCTAGGACTAAAGGATAAAAATGAGCCAGCCAAATCACAACTACTGGTCACTTCGTAGAATGAGAAGGTGTAATATATAACCAGTCTAGGACAAAAGAAGAAAGCTTTCTTGTGATAAATATATCATAGGATATGCTGAAACACAGTGTCAAATTTACATGAATTTTTAAGATAGTTCAGAACATTTCACATTTGCTAGACTTCTTTAAGCTATGTTTTCTATATTCTCAAGAGATTTAATTAACTCTTGTCTACCATCAGGAGTATCTCACTGTTAAAGTCCAAGAAGTACTGATATAAAAGAGAATAAAAAACTAACACCCCTGAACCTGGTGTTATGACATGTTGGTTAAAGTCTCCAAACTATCCCTTGAATACTAACTGATTTTGGCCAGATCACTTACCACTTATTTTCTTGACTGAGGTCATATCATATCACTTGTGATTTTACATCTTAAACTATCAGTTTCTACTCAAATGCAAGGTTTAAATAATATTTTATTTATGACAATGTGATTTAATCTAATGTAAGTGATATAAAAGTCCTGAAAAAGATAAAAATGTATGCTTCAGGAGGCATAGTCCCCCTCTCAAGTTAAATTTTCCTGACTTTTATTGCATCCAAAGTGATATGAGGCTAGTGGACCAACACATGGTTTTCTGTAGTGTTATAGAATGGAAAAAGCTAAGGCTGAATTATTGGGAGTTAGAGCTACATAAGGAGATTGGAAAAATGACATAGAGTATACTCAATCCCTTGAGAAGAAGAAAGAATCGTCTGAAGAATTATAAGAGAATTGGATTCCTTCCTGATTGTTGTTGGAGCAGCCTAGGCCAAGACAGAACAAGCAGCTGTGCTGCTCTGGCAACCAAAAGAGTTTCCTAATTCACTGTCCTGATCATAACATAAAAAATGGAGCTGTCCACCAAGAAGTAGGAAATCTGCAGTGCAAATAAGTGGAGGACCTGGGAGCCAAATTTGAAAATCACCACACACCATGCAAGAGAAGCAAGTATTTCAGGATAGTAGAAAGTAATTTGCTAATTTGGAAGTACAGCAGCAAAATTCTATTTTATTTATGCATTCTTTGACAAATCCAAACGTAACTAAAAAGTAGAATTAATGGTCAAAAAGGAAGAACATTTCAAATGTTCCCAGCTAGAGTTTAAGTGGTATCCAGGGGCTTCCTCTTCCTCTCAATAGCAATAGCACATTGTTGGCTCAAAAGAAGTTGTTATTTGCACAAAAACCTTTTGGAGAGTCCATGAAACAGAGCTGATCAAACTAACTCTTGAGATAAGGACCCTGCAAATGCTTACAAACATATGATCTGCATTACAGTTAGTCTTGGACAAAATGATCTTTATCAAATTTTGTCTTAAGTTTTTCCAACTCTGACATTCAGATATTCTTTTTGTTCCAAAAAGTTAATGTGCTAATAACAGTTTTTTGAAATAGAGACAACTACAGAGATTAAAAATGAACATTTATCTCCTGTTATCATAACACAAGTACAGTTTTAATAAAAAGGTTGGAAGTAATATCTATTTCAATTAAGAAAAAGAAAAGAAGTTTACTTTTTCTGAGAAAGCAAATTGATATTTTTTTCTTTTATTTCCTTATACTTTGGAATGAAGGGCTGCTATTAAAACTTTCAATAAACCTTTAAAATAAACTATGCTGTAAAGCAAATATTAAGTTTGGTCTTTAATGAGGCATTTTTGCTATTTTATAGGCAGTCTAAAATAATAATATATCTCCTACACACAGACTCTTCTAGCACCGCCTTTCTGGGAATGTATATACTTTGCCAGATAGCACGATATGTGGAAGATGAAGTGGGTCCTCACACTGTCAATGACACTAACAAGCTCTATGATCCTTAACCTCTCTTGACCTCAATTTTCTTCACTGTGAAACTAACACACTTGAGGAAACTGTGTTCCTAATTTTTATTTGTTCAGCTTCTAGCTAATGTTTGGTGTACACATGATTTGATGAACTCCCCCAGTAATCTGTAGCCCACTAGTGGCAAACTCTGAACAACAGATTATTTAAATTTCTTACCAACATTCCAAAATTTCAGAGTTGGGACAAAGAAGAGGAATGGGAAGGAAAGACACACAAATACTACTTACTTTTCAAAGAAATGTCTGATAATCAGCAAGCCAAACGCATATGGAATTGTCATGTACAAATGAGAGGGTTTTACGAAGACAAGTCCATCATGATCTTCAAGATCTGACCACTTTATTGTTGGAGGAAGCCAAAATCTTTCCAACCAAAACCATTCTTTAAATGTCTGAAACATTCTATAGAGATGGAAAAAGAATATGTTAGACTTATAAAGCAAATACTTAAATTGAAGTAACATTGAGAATCATTTCTTAAGATCTCTAAACCAGAGAGTTTTGAAAACAGAGCAAAATGGGATCCTATTATTCACTGGGTTTCATGACACTTCATTGCATTCAGCAAGAATTACTGCAAATGCTCTTGGAATAATTTTGGCTGTGGCATGGCCAACTAAAGTTTAACATACCACTGTTCACATTTTTGGCAAAAGTATGTTAATATTATAGGTATGTATCTTCCTTTTCTATGATTCTATGTATGAAAAATCATTTAACAATAATCTCTATAACTTTAACATGCCCAAGATCAACCTCATGAAAGCTCTAAGTATGTATAAGTCTCTATTAGTATCCTAAGAACTTCTCTAGTAAATAAAGAACAAGCATATTTAATTTCATATTATAGTAAGGAGTTCAAATTTGTCCATGTTAACAAATACTTAGAGATTCTATGATTTCTCAACTGCTGTGCCAAGCACTGAAAATACAAAGAATAAAAAGATGGTATTCTTGCCTTAAGGACCTTTAGAGTCTTGTGAGCAAGGCAGGCCTGAATATCTAGATGATTTTGACATACTCTTTTAAGGTACTTTTAAAAAGGTACAGGTGCTGTGGAAACAAGATGATGGACACTGAGCCCAACCAGGAAGTGTCAGAGAAAGATCATTGGAATAGATGTTCCTTGAGATGTCCTGAACAATAAGGGAAAGGTAGGAAAATGGTGAGGAAGGAATAGAGGTTTGAAGGAGGGAAAATGCCATGGTCAAATAACCAGAAACACAGAAGAAAACAGAATTAGACGTTCTAATCTCATTGTTTAAGCCATAAACAATTTCTAGTCTTGACATTTTGACCTTGAGGACGTTTTTATTTCATTATTTAACAGTCAATCAGAGAAAGGAATCAAAATGTCCTCAGATTCACAATAGGGAGGCCAAAGCATGAAGGTGGTGGGAGGGGGCTAAGGACTGGAAGAGCAGGAGGCCTGATCAGAGGTGAGGATCAAAGTGTGGGGTCCTGACATTACAGATTTCCAACTTCAGATGAGGAAGAATTCCAAAGTGTGGATCCTGATACCCTTCAGAAAAATCTATGCCACAAGCGACAGCTGAAGGCTGGTAGGATAATTCCTTGCTTCATTTTGCCCGCATCCACTGTGAAGAGATGTTCTCAGCCAGAGTGGTGCTGAGTCACACCCACACCTCCAATGCTGTGTGCAGAAATAGAAGGGCTGCTTTCTTTTTCATGCGTTAATCATTTCACTATCATCTCTACTCTGGGGGTGGGTAAGTCCCATTAATACAGTTGCAAAATTTTGCAGATATTTTGGAATGAAGATAATCAAGAAATACTTGTTGAATACTTCCTCTATACCAGGCTTTGGAGCTACAGAAAGGAAAGGGGGTGATTCTGGATTCAGAGAGCTTACGACAGATTCAGGACTCATGTGGACCTGGACTCAGAGAGCAGATGAAAGACTGGTCAGGAAGGGAGAATCACACACTTTGGTGAGGGAACTAGGGATTCGAGCTCAGTTGCCTGGGCTGAGACGAAGAGTTGAAGAGAGGAAATCTGTTTTGAATGCACAGCCAGATACTCCTCAGTACGACAGGGCTAAGCCTTGAGTCAAACTCCGGCTGAAATTCAAACTTCCTACAGATCTCAGAAACCAACTCCAGCCATGAGAGTCTCCCTGTGATGGGCAAATCTTGTGTCAGGCCTTGACCCTCATCACATCAGAATGAGCTACACCTGCAAGGGCAAATTTTTTTTTTCTTAAGTTTGCCTCAACACATTCATTACTCGGCTCCAAATTAGGGCTCAGGGAACAAACAGCAGTTGATGAGTTAGCTTTACTTTTGATATTGTCATAATTATTATACAAAATAGTTTGCTCACTCCTAAAATGCAACTCCAGGCAGCACAATTATCTTGTCCAGAGTAAAATATAACTAAATAAATAGTTTACAATGGCTATGTAGGGGTCGCCCTTATAAATAATGCCCTTGTGCATCATATGCAGGCAATAAATCAAGATCTGTTGAAAGCCATAGTAATGTCGATATCCCACAACCTAAAACATTAAAAGGGAAATAGAAAGAATACAGAAGTTGAGGGTGCCTCCCCTGGAAAATGTAGTTCAGGCTGAGAAAACAATTAATCTAATTATTTATTCTTTCTTTAGGTGCTGCCAACAAACATCAATTATTGTTGTTAATAAAAAGAGTTAAGAATCCCTTCTTCACACCATATATAAAAGTTAACTCTAAACAAAGCACAAACCTAAAATATAAGGGCTAAAACTGCAATACTCTTAGAAGACTAGATAGGAGTAAATAGTCATAACCTTGGGTTAGGCAAAGACCTCTTACATATGACACCAAAAGTACAAATGACAAAATTAAAAAAAAAGATAAATAGGATTTCATCAAAATTCAAACCTTTTATGTGTCAAGGGATACCATCAAGAAAGTTGAAAAGACAAGCCACAGGATGGGAGAAATACCTTAAAATCACACATCTGATAAGGAGTTTATATTTAGAATAGAATAAGAACTCTTGCAACTCGGGGCACCTGGGTGGCTCAGTGGTTGAGCATCTGACTTTGGCTCAGGTTGTGATCCCAGGGTCCTGGGAGAGAGTCCCTGCATCAGGCTTGCCACAGGGAGCCTGCTTCTCCCTCTGCCTAGGTCTCTGCCTCTCTCTGTGTGTTTCTCATGAATAAATAAATAAAATCTTTAAAAAGATAAAAAATTCTTGTAACTCAATAAGAACACATAATCCAACTCAAAAATGGGCAAAGAATTTGAAGTTGACTATTTCACCAAAGAAGATAGACAAATGGCCATGAAGCTTATGAAAAAAGTTCTCAACCTCATTTCTATAAAGGAAATGCAAATCAAGACCATACTCACAGATACCATTCACATCCACTAGGGTGGCTATCATCATGAAGATAACAAGTGTTGGCAAGGATGTTGAGAACATGGCTAGTAGGAAAGTAAAAATGGTACAGCTGCTGTGGCAGACAGTCTGGCAGTTTCTCGAAATGTTAAACGTGGAGTTACCATATGACCCAGTAATTCTACATGTAGACATTCAAGAGCGTATTCAAGAGGATTGAAAGGATTCATGCTACAACATAGATGGCTCTCAAAAACATGCTATTAAAAGAAGCCAGACACAAAAGGCCACATAGTGTGTGATTCCATTTATGTGAAATGGAGCAGTAAATCCACAGAGACAGAAAGTAGGTTACTAGTTCCTCAGGGTGTATGGAGGGAGTGTGGGAAGAAATGGGAAGTGGCTGACTGATGATGTGTACAGGGTTTCTTTTTGGGGTGATGATAATGTTCAAAGATTGAAATATGGTTTGGTTGCACAACCAAGAATATACTAAAAAATGTTGAATCACACATTTTAGATGGGTGAATTGGATGGTCTGTGAATTCTATCACAAAAAGAGAAAAAAAATTAAAAAGCCTCCTGTTTCAACCTTTTTAACCCAGAGCTTATCCTGAACTACATGCTAGAGCTTCCCATTATTTCATTTACAGGGCTGAAATTTTGCCTCCCAAATTCACCGGTGTAACACTTGTGTCCACGAACCCAGAAAAGTAATTAAATGAAGGAAAGACTATATCCAGATTCAGATTTCAACATGATTTAAAGTTCATGACTTTCTGGGAGAAAGAAATAGCATATTTTAAAAAGCAAAAACAGACTAACTCCCCTGAAGGAGAAGTGGCTCCCCTAGATGATAGCCATCTTGGGTGTAAGGGTATTTGGTAGACACCCACAAGCCAATATTTTAGCTCTAGCAGAGGGCTTTAAAAATTCAGGCTACGCCTCTAGCCAGCCTCTCTACCATCCTGTTATTTCTCTCAGGATGAGATCAGAGGCTAAACACAGGGAAATGAGCTAAAGAGAACTGGGGCCAGCAGTCTCTAATCCTCTAGGCCACTTCAGTCTATTAAGCAGGGAACATGTCACAGTCTCTCAGCCTCATGCCAGCTGCTCCTAAGGCCATAAGCCTGTGCCAGTACCTCTGGCCTCCTCCATAGCCACCTTTCCCTGACTCTAGTATACTGGACATGCCATTTTGGAGTTAGCCCAGCATCTAGCCCTCAGAGCAGCAAGGGAAATCACCATTGTAAGGGGAGTTTGGTGCACTGTCTTTCCCACTGTGAGATCCAAGGTGGACCATCCTCCATCTGCTGACAGTTGGGATGGCTTAGGCTTGGCCAGTTGGATACTTCCCTCAGGACTTTGAGTCTGGAGCAGACAGTGATATCCAGAAGCAGCAGACGGGATCCTGCCTAGGCTGCTGCTGAAAAGATAGTTGTTATCTCTCAGCTTTTTTTGGCCTTCCTGATTGTCCTGGTTTCTTGGCTTCCACTGGTCCAAGTCTGGTCCATCAGCCTTCCTTCAGGGCTAAGAGTTTCTTCCAATGAAGTCCTTTGTTTAAGATAGTAAGAGGTGGATTCTGTTGCCTCTAACCAAAAGGGCTTAAATGGAGAAGCAGGAACTGGGGGTATGTGTCAGTTCCTCCTTCTGATCTCATCTTGCTGATGATGGGCACTCATGTATCTCTTTTCCTCTCTTCTTTTCCCACCCCATTTTTGCCTAGGTTTCAAATCTGACAGTGACATTATTAATAGTCACCACTTAAGTTATTTTTTGGTTCAACGTAAAAGAAGCTACTCACTTTCCTGACACAGCCTTAAAAAGCTGCTTGCTGGATGAGAAAACATATTACCTACACAGTGAGTGGGGCAATATCTTTATGCCATGTGAACTAAGTATTGCAATATTTCAATAATTGCTAGGTGGAAAGAGAATTAGAAAATACTGACACAGGGAGTACCTGCATTTTTCAAAGCCCACAGGTGACTGCTCTAAGAATAGTCCTGAGTATTTGGAATAATGAATCTGTCATTCAAGGGCCCTTCCCCATGGCCCATTCACTTCTTGGACAGTCAGAGAAGCCCACTGACTCCCACAATCAATTTGCAGCTCACTTCTCATCTTGATTCATTTAGCTCAACTCTAGACCTTTCTGGCAATTGAACTATTGCCAGCTCTGTAGATGACTCTTCCATCTCTGCTTGGTATGCTTTTTAAGCAAAGGTATTTATTTACTCCCTGACACTCTCCGTGCTATTTTTTTTCCTATCACCTACTCAAAATCCCCTTTTCCTATCCTATGTCCATTCTCTAAGTACTGTAACTCCTATTTATATAAAAAATATCTGAAGGAACTGTACTATTTACATTAAAAATATCTGAAGCTCTTTTTTAAAGTAAGAAATATGTGCAAGAAAAATACCTGCAGTTATTTCTTTATATTTTGTAGAAGAATCAGTATTGGAGGTGGCACCATAGCCCAGCTGTGTTTTCTCACCTGCCAATACTGTGGAAGTCTTAAACCCTATTTTTGACTCCAGCTGCCAGTAATTTGCAGGAAGATAATCTCACTAATGTAGGCTTTTATGACTCATTATTTTCTGACCTCATGGATTCAGAACCCAACAGGGCGAAGGAAGCCTGTTGAGCCACTTTCTCAGATGAACACCATTAAATTTGACCTTAGGAATGAAGAAATAAAACCATCTGGGCCATAAGTTTATCACTATTTGAAGCAACATTTTTGCAAAGCATTTAAAAATGTGGCACTTGAACCTTGCTGAGATAAGAACTCTGAGTCAGGCTGAAGTTTAGGGCAAATTATGAAATCCTGGTAATTATCCATGCAATATCCACTGTAAATAAACACAATGCCTTAGAATATAACTCTACAGAACATATCTCTTAGAGTGACAAGAGAGTATCTCTACAGAACAGAACACATCTCTCAGAAAAAGGCCAATGACAAGAAATGGGAAATTAGGTAGACAACTGTAATTGAAGTAAAGGTGTATTTCTGAATGGTAAAGTGAAATAAAGATGTATTAGAATCAATGTTCACTATCTCAGAGTATTATTATGGCTGGAGGAAGTGAGAATTGGTGAGAACTTTGGAGACTGGGTTACCAGCTAGATTATTATGGGACCAGGGTTCTCTGGTGACAGAAAGGCAGGTCTAGAAGAGCAAGGACCTTGTCTGGCTTGTTCACTATGTATACCCTAGGCTTGCCACACAGTAAACACTAGATAAGTATTTGGTGAATTCAACAGAAGGGTTACTGAGACTGGAATGGACTTTTGAACAATCCAGGAGTGATGCTTTAGAGAAAAATGATATCTAATTTAATTATCTACAAACAATCTCATTTTTATTAATTGCAAAACAATTTTTAAATTTTGGTGCGAGGAATCAAGTAAACATGCTTATCTACATTTAATCTGTTTGTGTTTTCTTTGGAATGAACTTTATCAACTCAGCCCAAAAAACTGGTTATGCCTTCAAGATAAAACACAAAGGAAAACATTAGCAGCTACTTGCTTCCTGTCAAGAGCATAAGGACTGAGCCAACTGTAAATTCCAGTTTTAAAAGCATTTTAAATTGTGTCATTTCAAATAGGTAAGACAATGCAAATGATAGAATAACTTACCTCTGAGGGATATTTATTATGATTGAGTTAGTGCATTAAAAGCCTATAAAGGCCTGGGCTTATAGTAAGAGAAACAAACAAACAAACAAACCATATACTTTGTGTAGAGAAGTAGTTAACTTACAACAAGATAGTAAGTAATTCTCTGATTTTAAATTTTACCATTATATATGTTTAAAGTCTTGAAGAAATTCAAAATAGACTCATAGATTTAAAAAGAAAAATTCAGAATATTTGCAAACAAAACCAAGGTATTACCTCAAAGATGTCATTGAGGGGTATCAGGATGTCCTGAGTATCCAATCATTCTGCCTTTTATTTATAGTCCTCCTACATTCCCACCCCCAGGTTTTACTTGGGTATGTGGCTGCCCTGCCATGTGAGACAACATTTCCCAACATCCCGTGTGGCTAGATGTGGCCACACGTAACTACTTCTGGGTTAAGGACACAGCAGTGGTATTGATTTGAGTAGTCTCCTTAGGTACCAAGCTGTGTGTTCTGGTTTCTCTCTTTCTTCCTTTCTAATAAATGAAGGATGACAGGATAGGAAGAGGCCAATTAGCCCATCTTCCTGGCCTACCACATATCTGGACAATTACATATAAGAGAAATAAACTCTTACCTTCTGTAAGTCATTGAATTTTGAATCCTTTGTGTCTTAACAGCTTAGACCATAAATCTAATATACAGGGGAAAATATAAAGGAGAATTAAATAAGAACTATATTGCTGTACTGTGTTGTATTGTTTCCAGGTATTTTAAAATCTGGAGACATCTGCTCATCAAATTACCATTTAGAGAATACAATGGAAGCCTACAGACTGGGAGAAAATATTTGCAATATTTGCAATAGGAAGCACTTGTGTCTAGAATATATAAAGAGCTCCTGCAATTCAATAATAAAGAAATCAGAGGACTTCTTCCATAATAAGTAATTTGGGGGCCTGTATTTCCATTAATATTCTGCCTGTTGGGGAGCATCCCAAGTATTTGCTTTGCCTTCAGGGCTTCTTGTATGGAGCCTGTGACAATCATCAATTTATTGCCTCAATTCCCAAATTCATTCTTTTTGCCTGCTTTGTTAAATGTCCTGGTCCCTTTCTTATTTTCCCTTTGCCACCTGGCCCTGGAGCTTTCTCTGTCAGTAGAGCAGGGTGGAGGGACATTGCAGGATGAAACGGTTTTACTTCCCAACTCTAGTGCATTTCTTTGCATGCTCTAGCTCAGCCCCACAAGTTATACAGTTTCCTATAACAGTGATCCCTATATTCCATAGAGTTACTCCTACTGGCAAATTCTTCATTTCTCCAATCTTGACTGCGCCCAGATTGCCTTGATGGAAAAGTTCAACCTTATGTACTTAATCTAATACTAATTAATGAAAGAAAAAGTTATTTGGAACCAGTAAAAAAATTTTCTGAAGTTCAAATTAGAAGGGAGAGTCTTCTCATTTTTCCTTTCTAATACTGTCTGTAGTTTGCTTGTAGAATTAAATGATGATGAGATTTCAGGAAGATGTGCTTCTACCTCTTTACTCCTATCTCCATTCTAAACCTTTGATTAATGTCCCCATGAGCCAGTTATCACTTTCTACTAGGGCAATAATTCCTCTCTGTTAGTAAACATAGTTGGGGTATTTTTTCCCAGAAAAATGAATAAGCCCCTAAAAATGCCAGCTAGGCACTTGGCATCTGGATGGGGTCAAGTTCTCTTTGAAGCCAGGGCTATCCCCTAGTGCTATTCTCTTCAGGCCATGTTTCTCTTGGCTCTGTAATAAAATTTCACAAGATCCCTTGATCTAGGTTCTTAACTTAAATAGCCCCTTTCTAACTTAAATACTGAGCCAAAGAAGTTTAATTCCTATAAAATCACAAGTTGCTATTTGCTGTTGTGGGCAGAAGAAACCCCACTTGGAGTTGGCTCTGCCAGATGCCTGCAATCCCAAGCAGCCCCAGTCTCCTTTGGAGGAGAATTTTAGGACCTCCTAAATTTTAGGACCTCCTCACTGCCCTCCCCAGTGTTTGCACACTCCTGTACAAGAGAAGCTTGTAACATGCCCCCAGGCCATTGGGCCCCTGTCTGGTTTTCCAGGCGTGTCCCTCCCTTCCCCTTCTCTTCAAGATCCCACAGTTCAGATCTGCTTTCTGACTCTTGAGAACAAAAGGCAAAGTTCTTTCCTGCCTTCAGGCATGTGCATTGACTATTCTTCCTGCCTTTTACCCTTTACCCATCTTCACCCAACTCTCTCCTCCTTATCCTTCAAGCTTCACCTTAAACCTCCCTAAGATCTCCATCAAGATGCTCCATGACCCCTGCTCCCCACTGCTCCAAATCTAAACCAAGTACGGCCATCGCTCCATGGTCTTTTCCTTCATAACCTGTATTAAATCTGTAATTATATGTTTGTATGTTGATTTGATTGAAGTCTGGCTCCTTCCTCAGACTTCAAGATGGAGGAGAGTAGGCATGACACCTGTTCTACTCACAACAGCATCCCTACATTGGCATACAGTAAGTGTACAAACAGTAAGCCCTCAATAGATACTAAGGGAGTCAGTATACAGCACAGTGGTCAAGCACATGGATATGGATTTTGGAGCCAGACTGCCTGGGTTTAAGGCCTCGTTCTGGCTTCAGTAGCTATGTGCCCTCAGACAACTAACTTAATGTCAGTTTCTCTATCTACAAAACAGAGGTGATAACTGCACCTTACTGATAGGGTTGTTAAAATGATGAAGTTCGTAAATAATTGTAGATCACTTTATCACATGCCTATTAAATAATCAATTGGAGTCAAGCTCTTAAATACCATTTTCCCCTCTAAAGAGAGGGGATAAATGAACTTTGAGGTCCTAAAATTCTATAACTGACACTTGTTAAATGAAAAGAAGTTATTTTAAAATAATACAGTGCTGTGATATAGTTAAAACTAATACATTTTAAAAACAGCATCAATTATACCACCTCTTAGGGTAATACAGTTTAGCAATCACTAAAATGTTCAAGTCTACCTTGGAATATATGTGAAACTGGACAAAACATGTATTTAGGCTATAGTTAAAATATAACACTTCAGTGTTTATAATAATATATTTTTTAAAAATCTGGAATGTGTAAGTACATTTTGAAATGTTAACTCTATGCAATAACATTCAGCTACTACTGAAAATTTTATTTGCCAACATGGGAAGTGTTTAGTCATGTAAAAAAACAAAATTCAAAATTATATCTTTAATATTATGATGGAATATGATCTCATTATTATAGTGCTTTATACATATACATCTAAGTGTATAGTGTATGTGTATAAAGGCAAACTTGAAGGAAACATGAAAAAATGATAAAAATCTTGGGGTTGAAAAGTTTTAAATTATTGTTACTGTTGACCCAATATTAGGAAAACTTATAATTGATTTCTTATTAATGACTCAAGTCAACAAAGGTACATTTTGTTCTAAAAATCATGCAATCATACAATCCAGCCCTATAGAGATTAAGAAACTGAGTCCCAGGGAAATACAGGTGCCTTGTCCAAGCAAATCCAGGAAAGTCAGTGTTTTCCCAATACACACAATTGCCCCTTACTAAAAAGTGTTACTAAGGTGATTTATTTTGCATTAACATTTTGAGAGAATAATTTTTTCATGTAAATTTTTCATATACAAAAGCTAATAGCTGATTTGAAGTAAAGCAAGTTTGTTATCTATGTAAAACTTCTCTCAGTGTTCTTCTTATTCATGCAAAACCTAAATACCAGAATCTTCTGTACTCTAATAATTTCAGAGGAAATAAAGTGTGCTTCCTAGTCAGTATAAAGACAAGATCTTGAGATCTATCTATAAACTGACTTCAGGGACACCTGGGTGGTTCAGTCAGTTGAGTGTCTGATCATGAGATCATGAGATCGAGCCCCACGTCAGGAGCCACATTCAGTGAGGCAATGGAGCCTGCTTGAGATTCTTTCTTTCCCTCTTTCTGCCCCTCCCCCCTCTAAAAAACAAATAAAGAATAGAGTTGAACTGACTTTAGATTCTGAAGATAATAAACATATGACAGAAAATGCAGTTTAAGGAGGCCGCATTCACCAAAATGTCATTCTTCCAGATACTCCTTCACCTTTATCACATCTCTGCTTGATCTTTGGCCCAGTCACTAATTGGCAGAGATTGCTAAAGCCCAGATCAAGGCCAGGAAAGCAGTAAGTGGCCAAGGAAGTTTACTTAGACTGGTAACATGGATAGAGACTTACAGAAAAACAGGTATGAAATTGGCAGGATGTGAAGCAAAATTCCAGAACAGATAAGCCTTAGAAGAATGTAGATCCTAGAGTCCAAAGGGAATGGATCCAAGCAGATTAGGAGGGAATCTATGAGAAAGTGACATAGGATCAACTGTTCATAATTCTGCCTTCAAAGGCAAAATTCCTCCCCCCTTTTTGTTTTGTTTTGTTTTTTAGTTAAATTTAGAAGTCTACAATGTAAATTAATAGCAGGGTGACTAGGCAATGCTGTTGCAATGTAAAGAAATTTTAACCCAATTAGCATCATGTCAGCATCTTCTTCCTAATTCCTATTAAATATTCTGCTCCCCTCCACCAAGTCCTTCCTCATAGCTCCCCTCCCTAGCCTGGTGAGTCACACATGTTGCTCCACAAATTACCCTGTCATTAGTCTCAGGCACAAGTGAGTGATGTAGACAAGAGCAAGGGGGCTGGGAACCTTGCTGACAGTGACTCACTCACAGAAAAGCCTGGGGAAAGGCCCTGATTCTGTCTTAATCTTCCCATCTGAGAGACGAGAGGATTGGCCTTAGAGTCTGCAAAGCCCTCCTGAGCACCACTGAAGAGTTCTGCAGGAGCTTTCCCACTAGTCCCAGGTAGGAAGAGTCAGCAAGACCACCACACACTGTCTGTAATTAATGAGTAAAATAAAAAACAAAACAAAACAAGAAACAGTGCAGTGTTTCACACACCACCTCAAACAGCCGAAAACCTTGAGAAAGAACTATGAATGTAGAGTCAGAAAGCCCAGGTCTGAGCTCCAACCCTGCCTCTTAAAACTAAGTGAATTTGGGAGGGGGGCCTGGGTAGCTCAGTTAGTTGAGTGTCTGACTCTTGATTTCTACCCAGGTCGTGATCTCAGGGTCGTGAGATAGATCCCCACACTGGGTTCCGGGCTCTGTGTTCAGCAAGGAGTCTACTTAGGATTCTCTTTCTCCCTCTCCCTCTACCCCTCCTACCCCGTTCCCTTCCCTTTGCCTCTTTTTCTCTAAAATAAAAAATAAATAAATCTTTTTAAAAAGATTTTATTTATCTATTCATGAGACACACACAGAGAGAGGCAGAGACACAGGCAGAGGGAGAAGCAGGCTCCATGTAGGGAACCTGATGTGGGACTCCATCATGGGACCCCAGGATCATGCCCTGCCAAAGGCTGACACTCAATCACTGAGCCACCCAGGCATCCCTAAATAAATAAATCTTAAAAACAAAACAAAACAAAACCAAAGTGAACTTGGGCAACTCTCTGAATTCTTGGCTAGCTCACTTGCTCTATAGTGCTACTTCTACCTTCCACAAGGACCTATTACAGATTAAGAGTGATTTGGTATGTATAAATATCTGAACAGAGTAAAGTGCTGGATCTATGTTACAGAGTCACATTATCTTATCATCTTCAC